CTCCTGACCTCAAGTGATCCGCCTGCCTCAGCCTCCCAAAGTGCTGGGATTACAGGCATGAACCACTGCACCTGGCCTTTAATTACTGCTTTAAAGATCTACCTCCAAATACGGTCACATTCTAAGGTACTGGGGCGTTAGGACTTCAACATACGAATTTTGGGAAGTACGCAGTTCAACCTACAGCAACCTGACTGCCAGCATGCTAACTCAAACTAAAATGAGATTTTGTTTTGTTCTGTCAAAGTAGGAAATGATATTATTATTATTATTATTATTATTTTGAGACAGAGGCTTGCTCTGTCATCCAGGCTGGAGTGTAGTGGTGCGATCTTGGCTCATTGCAACCTCCGTCTCCCGGGTTCAAGTGATTCTCCTGTCTCAGCCTTCTGAGTAGCTGGGATCACAGGCTTGTGCCATCATGTCCAGCTAATTTTTCTATTTTTAGTAGCGACGGGGTTTTGCCATGTTGGCCAGGCTGGTCTTGAACTCCTGATCTCAAGTGATCCCCCGGCCTGGGCCTCCCAAAGTGCTGGGATTAGAGGTGTGAGCCACCACACCTGGCCAGAAATGATTCTTAAGTTGCTGTTGCTGAGTGGTGGCAGATTTCAGAACAGCAGCATCTGTCTTATGCAGCATTTTTGTGTGTGTGCTCAGGGCTTCCTAGGCCTGAGACATCCCGTGACAATAACAGTGCTTTCATCAACTGCTTGCTGCTGTAAGCACTGCATGGACTCTTTGGAAGGCTGCATAATCTCCCCCCATCCCCCAGAGATGTCTATAGCCTAATCCCCAGAACTGGTGAATATGTAACTTCACATAACAAAAGGTACTTTGCAGATGTGATTGAGGATTTTTAAGTGGGGAGATTATCCTGGATTATCTGGGTGGGCCCAATGGAATCATAAGGGTCTTTATAAGAGGGAGGCAGGAGGTCAGAGAGAAGCAGGGAGATGAGAAGATGCTACCCTGCTGGCTTTGAAGATGGAGGAGATGGCCACAAGCCAAGGAAAGGGGACACCCTCTAGAAGCTGGAAAAGACAAGGAAATGGATTCTCCCCTAGAGTTTTCAGAAGGAACATAGCCCTGCCAACACCTTCATTTTAGCCCTGTGAGACTCATTTTCTGATTAGCTGGGCATGGTGGCATGTGCCTGTAGTTTCAGCTACTTTGGAGGCTGTGGCGGGAGGATGGCTTGAGTTCTGGAGGTGGAGGCTGCAGTAAGCTATGACTACACCACTGCACTCCAGCCTGGGCCACACAGCAAGACCTCGTCTCTAAACAAACAAACAAACATAAAAACAAGGAAAAAAAATTTTCTGACTTCTGATCTCTAGAAGGGTAAAAGAACAAATTTGTGTTGTTTTTAGCCACTAAGTTGGTGTTCATTTGCTATAGCAGCAACAGGGAACTGGGTGGATTACTTGAGGTCAGCAGTTCAAGACCAGCCTGGCCAACATGGTGAAACCCTGCCTCTACTGAAAATACAAAAATTAGCCGGGCGTGGTGATGGATGCCTGTAATCCCAGTTACTTGGGAGACTGAGGCAGGAGAGTCGCTTGAACGTTGGAGGTGCAGGTTGCGGTGAGTAGAGATCACGCCACTGCACTCTAGCCTGGGAGACAAGAGTGAAACTCTGTCTAAAAAAAAAAAAAAAATTCTGTAAGGTGAGTACTATTGTTATTCCCTCTCTACAGATGTGGAAACTGAGGCTCAGAATCAGAACCATTCACAAGACAATAATCCCTCAGTTGGCAACTCAGTTGTTAGAGTTGCAAGCCAGGCCTGTGTGGCCCCAAAGCCAGTGCTTGTTTAACCACTGTGTTGTGACCACACTGCTCCAGGCCAGTAGCTTGGGGCTAAGTCTTCACGTTGCCTTTCACCATTAATAATAGGGCTGCCCTTTGTTGAAGCCCTGCACTTCCAATGACTGCCGTAATAACCTTCAGGTGTTCCGGTTTCTGCCTTCTCTAGCATGGCCAAGTACTTCCGGGACAACTTCATTAACCCCCACATTTACTCTGGAGGGATCACTAAGCTGATCTTTTGCTGGGACTTCACTGTCACTCATGAAAAAGCTGTGAAGCTAAAACAGAAGAATCTCAGCACCGAGATAAGGGTAAGGCGAGCTCACTTTACTCATTTGCTGTCGGCTGGTCTCCTTCCCTTCTCCAATATACATGTAACTTTTCTTAAAGTAATAGTGAAGTATTGTTTTATTGCCCATGAGACTGGCAAAAAAAAAAAAAAAAAAAAATTAAAATACTCATAGTGCCTAGAGCTGGTGTAGAGAAATGGACGTTTTCCCATGACATGTTGGTTTTGTAATTCATACAATCTTATCGGAGGCCAGTTTAGCAATTTATATCACTGTTAAATGTACTTTGCCCAGATTAGAGTGCAATGGCTCGATCATAGTTCACTGTAAGCCTCAAACTCCTGGGTTCAAGTGATCCTCCCTTCTCAGGCCCTCGAGTAGCTGGGATTACAGGCGTGAGCCATCATGCCCGGCTAATTTTTTAACTTTTATTTTTTGTAAAGACAAGGTCTTCTTATGTTCTCCAGGTACCGAACTCCTGGGCTCAGGTGATCCTCCTATCCTGGCTTCCCAAAGTGCTGGGATTACAGGTGTGAGTCACTGCACCTGGCTAATATACCTGTTTCTTGACCCCACAGTTCCAGGTTTAAACTTTACTCTAGGCCAGGCGCTTTTCTCTAGGTGGCTCATGCCTGTAATCCCAGCCCTTTGGGAGGCCAAAGCAAGTGGATCGCTTTAGCTCAGGAGTTCAAGACTAACTTGGGCAACACAGCGAGAATTTGTCTCTATAAATTAAAAAAAAAAAGAAAGAAAAAAATTTACTCTCAGGCAGTAGTTTTTGTTGTTGTTGTTGTTTGGTTTTTTTTTGTGTGTGTGTGTGTGTGTGTGGTTTTTTTTTTGAGACGGAGTCTTGCTCTGTTGCCCAGGTTGGAGTGCAATGGTGCGATCTCAGCTCACTGCAAGGTCTGCCTCCCGGGTTCACACCATTCTCCTGCCTCAGCCTCCCAAGTAGCTGGGACTACAGGAGCCCACCACCATGCCTGGCTAATTTTTTTTTTTTTTTTGCATTTTTAATAGAGAAGGGGTTTCGCCGTGTTAGCCAGGATGGTCTCGATCTCCTGACCTCGTGATCCACCTGCCTTGGCCTCCCAAAGTGCTGGGATTACAGGCATGAGCCACCATGCCCGGCTGTTTTTCTTTCTTTCTTTCTTTTCTTTTTTATCGGAATCTCATTCTGCTGCCCAGGCTGGAGTGCAGTGGTGTGATCTTGGCTCACTGCAACCTCTGCCTCCTGGTTTCAGGCGATTCTCCTACATCAGCCTCCCAAGTAGCTGGGATTACAGGCATCTGCCACCACACCTGGCTAATTTTTGGATTTTTTAAAGTAGAGATGAGGTTGCACTATATTGGCCAGGCTGGTCTCGAACTCCTAGCCTCAAGTGATCCACCCGCCTTGGCCTCCCAAAGTACTGGGATTACAGACGTGAGCCAGCCAGGGCAATGATTTTCGACCCAGAGAAATCTTGCCCCTCAGGGGGACATTTGACAACATCTAGAGACTTTTTTGATTGTTACAATTGGGAAGAGGGTGCTCTTGATATCTAGTGGGTAGAGGCCAGTGATGCTGCTAAACATCCTACAATGCATAGAACAGCTCCCGCAACAGAGAATTATGCAGCCCACCGTGTCAATAGTGCAGAGGTCGAGAAACGCTGGTCTATAGACACAAACTTATTAAAAAGAAAAAGCAGCTGGGCATGGTGGCTCACACCTCTAATCCCAGCACTTTGGGAGGATGAGGCAGGCAGATCACGAGGTCAGGAATTCAAGACCAGCTTGGCCAACATGATGAAACCCCATCTCTACTTTAAAAAAGGACAAAAAGTTAGCCGGGTGTGGTGGCGGACACCTGTAATCCCAGCTACTCAGGAGGCTGAGGCTGGAGAATCACTTAAACCCGGGAGGTGGAGGTTGCAGTGAACCAAGATCGCGCCACTGCACTCCAGCCTGGGCAACAAGAGCGAAAAGTCCGTCTCAAAAAAAGAAAAAAAAAAAAAAAAAGCAAGTTGATTTTATAAATAAAGGGGCTTTAAATTTTTTTTATTGTTTTCGAGAAAAGATCTTGCTCTGTCACCCAAGCTGGAGTGCAGTGGTGCAATCATAACTCACTGTCGTGTCGACCTCCTGGGCTGCAGTTAGCCTCCCACCTCAGCCTCCTAAGTAGCTGGGACTACGGGTGCATACCACCGTGCCCAACTAATTTTTAAATTTTTTTAGGGAGAGAGTCTCACTATGTTGCCCAGGCTGGCCTTAAACTCCTGGACTCAAGTGATCCTCCCACCTTGGCCTTCCAACATGCTGGGAATTCAGGTGTGAGCCACCAAACCCAGCCAGATAAAGGGGCTTCAACAAGAGGGCTACAGATGTGAGCTTCTTTCTCAGTGTAGATACCCAACCTTATTCTTCAACAAAGAATTTTGTGACCTCAGTGTGCTTTTCTCAAGAACATGGTCCCTATCTATTAATCCCAACTGTTTCTGTAAGATGGAAGCAGTCTTTGGAGATTCTTGGCCCATTTCAGAGTCCTCCGTGGGTCTCCCATAATCCCTGTTCATCATAAATGTTCCCCCTCTCTCTCACCTGTGGATTTGGGCTGGATTTATGTCTTTGGATGTGGAAAGCATTCCCTAGGGATCTTTGCTAGCTGTGGAGAGGGATCTCTAGATAAACCTGACTTTCATTTATTTTTATTTATTTGTTTATTTATTTATTTGTTTGAGACAGAGTCTCACTCTGTCACCCAGGCTGGAGTGCAGTGGTGCCATCTCTGCTCACTACAACCTCCACCTCCCGGGTTCAAGTGATTCTCCTGCCTCAGCCTCCCGAGTAGCTGGGATTACAGGCATGCACCACCACGCCTGGCTAATTTTTGTATTTTTAGTAGAGGCAGGGTTTCACCATGTTGGCCAGGCTGGTCTCAAACTCCTGATCTCAAGTGATCCACCCGCCTTGGCCTCCCAAAGTAGTGGGATTACAGGTATGAGCCACCATGCCCAGCCATAAACTTGACTTTCTTATGTTTCTAGGAGAACCTGTCAGAGCTCCGTCAGGAGAATGCCAAGTTGACGTTCAATCAGCAGCTGACCCGCTTCTCTACCTACGTGATGGCCTGGGTTGTCTCTACAGGGGTGGCCATAGCCTGCTGTGCAGCCGTTTATTACCTGGCTGAGTACAACTTAGAGGTAACCAACACCAGGTTCCAGGGCAGAGAGAACCAGGTGTAGGGATGAGGTGCTGGAGGGGAATGGTGGTGTGCAGCCCACGGTTCAACCCAGGATCTATGGCCCGCAGCATCAGCACCAGCAGAGAACTTGTTAAAAATGCAGGGGTGAGGCACAGTGGCTTGCACCTGTAATCCCAACACTCTGGGAGGCTGAGCGGGGAGGATTACCTGAACCCAGGAGTTTGAGACCAGCCTGGGCAACATGGAGACTCCATCTCTATAAAAATTTTAAAAATTAGCCCAGCATGGTGGCATGCACCTATAGTCCTGGCTACGGTGGTGGTCATTCATTGGTGACTACAATTTCACATGAACGGTAGCTCAGCTGTGTCGTTTCACAGCCCTGGGGCCAGACCTTGCCTTGTTTAATCTCAGTTAATTCTTGCAACCTCTCTATGGGTTATGTGATCATTTCTCCATTGTACAGATGGAGAAGAGGGGCTCAGAGAAGCTAAGGATCTGGCCCTAGACCTTGCAGCTTTCGTGTGGGGAGGGAGCCATACTGGAACCCAGGTTACCCTGGCTCCAAAGATACCACCAAAAAGGCAAGTGGTGCTTTTGAACCATCCAGAGGTAGACGGAGGTAGGATGAGGCCATGCAGGGAGGATGTGGGAATGTGACATATCAGGTAACTCCAAGGGTCACGGAGGATGCCTGGCAGAGGTGCAGCCCCGGCTCCACTCCCAGCCAAATGCTGGAGTGCTGCCTCCTCCTGGAGGCCCAGTGCCTCTCCCAGCCTCACACAAAAGTGCAGCACGGGGCTGGGCACAGTGGCTCACGCCTGTAATCCCAGCACTTTGGGAGGCCGAGGTGGGTGGATCACTTGAGATCAAGAGTTCGAGACCAGCCTGGCCAACATGGTGAAACCCCGTCTCTACTGAAAATACAAAAATTAGCCGGGTGTGGTGGTGCACCCCTGTAATCCCAGCTACTTGGGAGGCTGAGCTAGGAGAATCACTTGAACCTGGGAGGCAGAGGTTGTAGTGAGCTGAGATCATGCCACTGCACTCCAGCCTGGGCAACAGAGTGACACTCTGTCTCCAAAGAAAGAAAAATGTGCAGCACGGGCTAGCAGAAGCACCCCAACCCCCCTAATTCGGAACTCAGAGACAGGTGAAGCCTGGTGAAAATGAACAAGGCCACACAGGAGAGGCAAGGAGAAATTCCACGGTGATTGATCCCCTTAGGCTGTAGCTTCAGGAGACTCAGCTTATGGTCAACAGACAGGAGCACATCCTCATTGCCCTGGGAATCTTGGTAAAAAAGAGAAAGCCACAGAATGACTGTTTGAGCTCAGGCTCCTGAGTGAGACCTACCTAGGCTCCAATCTGCCACTTCCTTGCTAGGTGACCCTGGATAAGTGTCTTCCCCTCCCTGAGCCTCAGTTTGCTTGGCACAGGGTAAGCAAATTAATGGTACCTAGCTAAAACAGTTACTAAAACAGTTAACCTAGCCAGGTGTGGTGGCTCATCCCTGCAATCCCAACACCTTGGGAGGCCGAGGTGGATGGATCACCTGAGGTCGGGAGTTCGAGACCAGCCTGGCCAACATGGGGAAACCCCATCTCTACTGAAAATACAAAAATTAGCTGGGTGTGGTGGCGCGTGCCTGTAATCCCAGCTAGTCTGGAGACTGAGGCAGGAGAATTGCTTGAACTGAGGAGGTGGAAGTAGCAGTGAGCTGAGATCGCGCCACTGCACTCCAGCCTGCCTGGGCAACAGAGTGCGACTCCATCTCAAAACAATTAAAATAAATAAATAGCTGAATAGTTAACCCCAGAGGAGCTACTTCTCAGGTTTTCTATCATGGGAGACTTTTGGGTGAGGCAGAAGGGGGTACGGTGTACAAGTCAGCCCTCCATTCTCTCCCCGATCCCCTGCAGTTCCTGAAGACGCACAGTAACCCTGGAGCGGTGCTGTTACTGCCTTTCGTTGTGTCCTGCATTAATCTGGCCGTGCCGTGCTTCTACTCCATGTTCAGGCTCGTGGAGAGGTACGAGATGCCGCGGCACGAAGTCTACATTCTCCTGATTCGGTAGGTGATCTGTCGTGCCCAACACCAGCCTCTATTTCCATGGAGAGAAGTGGGATGGTAGCTAGAAAAGATTATGCTTTAGTATCAAAGTTTTGTTCTCCAGAAAGAAGGAATTTCAAAAGTAAAATGTGGCTGGGCATGGTGGCTCATGCCAGTAATCCCGGCACTTTGGGAGGCTGAGAGGGGAGGATCACTTGAGACCAGGAGTTCGAGAACAGCCTGGGCAACATAGCCGGATGCTGGTTCTACAAAAAGTCAGCTGGATGCAGTAGCATGTACCTGTTAGTGCCAGCTACTCAGGAGGCTGAGGTGAGAGGATCACTTGATCCCAGGAGTCTGAGGTTACCTATGATTGCACCACTGCTCTCCAGTCTGTGCGACAGGGCAAGGCCCTGTTTTAACAACAGAAGAGCGAAGTGTGTTTGTGTGGTGTGGGCTTTTGCTCAAAGTCATGGCTTGATTGATTTCCTGATTGCTACCAGCGGTGGATTGATGTAGTTCTCAAGTATGGGATGTACAGATGGGCAGGCAGTGCACACACAAAGGCTCCTGGGCTGAGGAGGGGACTGAAATCATCCAGCGTTCCCCTTAGTCAAGCTGTGAGTCCTGGTACCTACTGCCTGAGATGGGAGGAAGAGGCGCATTTTTGTAATTCCACCATCCAAACAAAGGTGGGAGGAGTGCTTTGGGCAACTCACTGGCACCCACAGGGTGCCTTTTTGTGATTCCCACAAAGGCATCATATGTGCTAGAAGTGATCCCAGAGTTTTGATACACAAAGCCTGGAACAACCCAAATTTTGTCATTCTAGTTTCTTCCCTGACTTCTTCCTGGTTATGGTGGGGTTTATAAGTATAGATCTGTAGGCCAGGTGCGGTGGCTTATGCCTGTAATCCCAGCAATTTGGGAGACCAAGGCAGGTGGATCACCTGAGGTCAGGAGTTTGAAACCAGCCTGGCCAACATGGCGAAACCCCGTCTCTAATAAAAATACAAAAATTAGCTGGGCGTGCTGACGCACGTCTGTAATCCCAGCTACTCGAGAGGCTGAGGCGGGAGAATTGCTTGAACCTGGGAGGCGGAGGTTGCAGTGAACCGAGATCGTGCCGCTGCATACCAGCCTGGGTAACAGAGGGAGACTCCGTCTCAAAAAAAAAAAAAAAAAAAAAAAAAAAAGTATAGGTCTGTACAATGCAGACTGTGTTTCTTTGCTGATCAGTTTCATAGCCCTTGCCTTACCATGGTCTGTGAGATCTGGCTCCCAGCCAGCGCTCCAGCTTCATTTTCTCCCCCTGTCCTTCTTGCTCACTGCCTGTCCCCGTCACAGGCCTCCTAAGCATTCACAAACATGCCAAACCATATTCCCACTTCTGGACCTTTGCCCTTTGCATGGGCCTGGAATGTTCTTCCCACACATGACCACATGGCTTGCTTCCTGAATGCATTTTGCGTTCTTCAAACATCACCCTCATGTTGCACTCTTCCTTACATATCCCATTAAAAATAACAGCTCCCTACCACCTTTTCTCCTCTGCAGTATAATTTTCTCTTTCTTTTTTTTTTTTAAGATGGAGTCTCACTCTGTCGCCCAGGCTGGAGTGCGGTGGCACGATCTCAGCTCGCTTTCTGCAGTATAATTTTCTTACCACTTCCTGACGTATTTGTATTTATTTCTTCATTATCTTCCTCCCCCACAGTTTATGGGGAAATCTTTGCTTTGTTCACAGTGCCTGGGATATCATACGTGTTCAAGAATGATTGGTGAATGAATGAGCAGTTCGGTCAGTCAGTTGATTATACCCAATCCATATTATGAAAATTCCAGACAGGTGCAGTGGTTCATGCCTGTAATCCTAGCACTTTGGATTGTGGCCAAGGTGGGAGGATTGCTTGAGCCCAGGAGTCCAAGACCAGCCTGGGCAACATGGTGAGACTCCATCTCTACAAAAAATTTAAAAATTAGTCAGGCATGGTTGATTGCGCCTGTAGTCCCAGCTACTCAGGTGGCTGAGGTGGGAGAAGTGCTTGAGCCTGGGAAGTCAAAGCTGCAGTGAGCCATGACCACACCACTGCACTCCAGTTTGGGTAACAGAATGAGACCCTGTCTCAAAAAGAGAGAGAGAGAGAGAAAGAAAGAGAGAGAGAAAGAAAGGAGGGAGGGAGGGAGGGAGGAAGGAAAGAAAGAAAGGAAAGAAAGAGAGAGAGAGGGAGGGAGGGAAGGAGGAAGGAAGGAAGGAAGGAAAGAAGGGAGGGAGGGAGGGAGGGAAGGAAGGAAGGGGAAAGAAAACTCTGATCATATTCCTATGCCCTCATTATTCCCCACATCCCACCCACTGATCCATGTTGCCACTTTTTAAAGTACATATAGAAGGGGAAATATTAGGTCTCACTGCACCCCATAACCTTGCATACTGAGTATGATGGGCATAAAATACTATCTACTAGATGATGGAGTTGTAAAGACTGAGGAGGATGATTCAATAAAGAGCTTGGCAGTGTATGCTGTGTCAGCACCCAATAAACATTATGTACATTTACTATTATTATAATGGGAAGTGAAATCAGACCATTTGGAGATGCAACAAAAGAGAACGTATCAGTCAGAATAAATTAGGTTATAGTTCAGTAACAATCCCCCAAATCTCAGTGGTTTAGAACACAAAGGTTTATTTCTTACCCATGTTACGTACACAGTGTGGATTGGCAGGAGTGACCTTCCTATGTTAGTCACTGAGGGATCTAGGCTGACAGAGCGGCAATCATCTTGAATATCATTGATCGCCTTTCCAAAAGGAAGATGGGGAGTTCTGGAGGGTCTCACAGGGGCATTAAGTGCTCCAGCTTAGAAGTGACACACATTGCTTCTGCTCACAATTCATTCACCAGAACCCCCTCCAACCACAAGGGCCAGGAATTTCGATCTTACCATGTGCCGCAAAGGAACTATTGGCAGACAGTGTGAAAGACTGTTATTGAAAGTAATCATAAATGTTGTCTCTTTTGTTTAGAAACATCCTTTTGAAAATAACAATCGTTGGCATTCTTTGTTACTATTGGCTCAACAACGTGGCCCTGTCTGGTGAAGAGGTGAGATTCTAAGCTTCTCTGCCTTAAGTTTAGTTTCTTAGCATTTGACCAACAGGGAGGACATGGGTTTCTCAAGAGCCATCACACTCCGTATTTGGTATTAATCCTTTGTGGGAAGAGAATGAAAACTAATCTGGAAAGCAACATAAGGCAAGATGGGTCTCAACAAAAAAAGCTCAGGTTCTAGAGTCAGGAGGACAAGACTCGAAGGCCAGCTGTGCTGTGTCATCTGCCGAGTCACTTAATCTCTTTGATCCTCAGTTTTCTCATCTGTAAAATTGGGATTAAACAATATAATGTGTAGTGTAAGTTCAGGGCCCAGCATATGCAGTGGACGCTAGTAATTTTAGCACTAGTCTGTCCTAACAGCCTTGGGGTTGGACAAAATCCTTTTTGATCCTTGATGTTCTATTTTTCCTGTAACCTAGATACCCTGGACTTTACCAATCTGTAAACTCATAAATGCTGGCAGTAACAATTATGTCCTAATGCTGACTGTTCCTGGCCCTCCTTCACTTGACTACAGTTTCTAGTCTTCACTAACCTCAGAGAATGGGTGCCTGAGGGTAGTGTCCCATATGGATTTAGGAACAAGCCAACTTCCCTGGCCTTCTCATTGGGATGCCTCTGCCCCTGCTACTGCATCCCCCATGATAATGTGCCTTCACATTACACAGTAATCCTTAGCTGATGGTCATCATGAGCCCTCAGATACCCAGGATGCCCTGGGGTTGGAAGTAGAGTCAGGGAATCAGGAGCCTCTCTTTATTTCTCTGTCACCCATTATTCCTGGGCTCTAAAATAGCTCTACTGTGTCTAGATTCAAACCATTTCACATGAACATGGCACCCTCAACTTCTCTCTGTAATTGTCGAAGAGAATCAAAATCAGCCCTGCAAGTTAGTATGGTTATAGCAGATACCATATTCTTCTTCCATGCATTCATCCATTCATGCATCCATCCATCATCCCTCTATCATTCATTTATCCATCCGTGCATCTATACATCCATTCATGTATTCATCTATCCATCCATTCATCCATCCATCCACTTATCCATTTATCCATCCATGTATGTAGCCATCCATCCATTAATCCATATATATATTTATCTATTCATTCATGTATTAATCCATCCATTTATCTAACCATCCATCCATTTATTCATCCATGTATTCATTCATGCATGCATCCATCTATCAATTCATGTATTCATC